AACTGTGAAAAACACGTATTCTTGACATGGAGAGGGGTAAGGGTGTCTGACAAAAATTTCCCTAAAGTTTCCTTAAAATTATCTAACAAGCCAAACAATCAATCATATTGCTCCAGTTGTCTCATTTTCGCTCGCTGGAACATTGCCAGCACAAACCACTGACCTCTACCTCCTGGACGGATCATCGCCCATTCCTGCACGCGCGGCGGCCATTTTACACTTCCAAGAGCGATACGGCTCACTATACGTTACGTACTAAAAGGCTGTATTGTCTGACCGTTCATGAATATTCATGTTTTTGCTTTACCTCGGCAAAATGCTTGCCTATACTAAATGGAAAAATTACGGTGGGGTGTTGGATGAAATGGACATAATGAACAAATCAGAACTGATCTATGATAATTCATGCTTCTTATCCTTCGTGTGCTTGACTTACAACCTTACAATCGGGTGGTAAATTGAGTCCAAAGTTCGACTAGTTGTACATGTGTTATATAGGCAATGGCGAGCTTGCGACCTATTTTGATGAAATTACGGTGGGTGAACTTTTAAAAGTCAATGAGACATGAGGGTTCCAAAGAAAGAGCTAGTGATAACGTACGTCGGGGTGGATGCGCTTTTTGTTTAAACAAAAAATGAACTTTTAACGATTTTTGGGGGGGTAAAGTCCATAGGCTAACATGTTAGGCTGCTGACTCTGACGATAGGGGGCGTTGTCAAATGAGACTAAACGGAGCTATATGAAACAACAACAAGACCCCCCCCCCCAAAAAAAAAAAAAAAAAGTACCAAGACTAAAATTCCGATACCAACTTGCGAAAAGACATGGCTATGGTAACATGGTCGAACACTTAAGAATCTTTATAAATTTTCAATTTCAACCGCCAACATTCTATTCTCAGAATTAACTATCAATACACCAAAACCATAGATGAGGGAAATAAAATATTGTGACCTGAGATTGTTTATTTGAAAATATATGTCTTGGTCTCTTGGATGAATGTGCTGTAATGCTCACATAAGGCAAAATAATGGTACAAGACAAACCGTTAAGTAAAAGGCATGGTACCAACAGAGGGAGGCACTCGTCATTGTGCTCGTTTTCTGGAGGTTCGTGTATTAGGCCGAGCGGGCCTTGCCCCCCCCCCCCCCCCCCCGCAAAAAAAAAAAAAAAAAGAGAAGGAAAAGAAGGGAAAGGGAAAGAGGAGAGAAAGGGGAAAAAAGAAGAGGAAGAAGAAATTAAAAGAGGGAAGGAGATGGGGGGGGCAAAAGGACTTGCCTCCCAGGCTGTTGCCTCCTCCCCCCCCCCCCCCCCCCCAATCAAAAAATAAAAGAGAAGGAAGGAAAGGGAAAGAAAAAAGGAAAAGAGGAAATAAAGGGAAAGAAAAAAAAGAGAATAAAGAAAGGTAAGGGATATCAGTTGCAATTTTCCCGCCAACAAGGTGTAGATCGGGGGGGGGGGCACTAGCGTACTGATAGGGGAGGAGGGGGGGGGGGGGCTTTGGGGAAATAAAATTCAAACGTGGTTTATTTCTAATTCCATAACGGTGGTTTACAAATAATGTTGAAATGACATGATTTTTCGAGATTTTTCCTCACTTTTAAGTAAATTATACTTTTTTATGCGTTTGTTTTAAAATGACAAATTCCTAAATATACAGCCAGGCAAGAAATTGCTTTTTGAGAAGCCTACATGTCAGGACCCGCGGAACGGCGGGGATCTGGATCCTCGAGCCCTTCCCCCCCCCCCCCCCCCTCCCCACTTTTTTTGAAAAAGTATATTAAAGAGAAATAGAAGGAAAAAAAGAGCAAGAAAGAAAAAATAGTTAACTGCCAGTGTCACATTATAATGAGGTATCAAAATATGCTCATCTGACGGTAATTAAACGCCTAAAACCCCTGAGCTTCCGGGGGCTCTGCCCCCTCGACCCAACCAAGAGCCCTAAGGCGGGCCCCTTGATACTCATCTTACCATAATTGAGTGCCTAAAACCCTTGAGCTTCCGGGGGCTCCATCCCCTGAACCCCACGCCAATTATTGACCTGCTAGTGTCACAATTAGGTATCAAAATAATGCTCATCTGACCGTAATTAAATGCCTAAAACCCCTGAACTTCCGGGGCTCTGCCCCTGGACCCCGCCTAGGGCCCTAATGCGGACCTCTGAATGCTAATCTGACCGTAAATTGTTGCCTTAAACCCCTGAGCTTCCGGGGGCGGACAAGGTGGACAAGGTAGGGTGGTCCCCAAAAAAATTTAGACAAGGATTAAGAGTCGAGAACGGTACAACGAATTGTCTTTTTCTCTAATGATTTAATGAAACGTAAAAGCTTCCGCGCTTTGAGCGGGAGGGGGGAGGGGAACTGAATTAAGACAAGGATTAAGAGTCGAGAACGGTACAACGAATCGTCTTCTTTCGCTAATGATTTAATGAAACGTAAAAGCTTCCGCGCTTCGCGCGGGAGGAGGAAAACTAAATTCAGACGAGGAATATTTTCGAGGGCGGTACAACGAATCGTCTTCTTTCTCTAATAATTTAATGAAATGTCGAAGCTTCCGCGCTTTGCGCGGGAGGGGGGGGGGGAACTGAATTTAGACCAGGATTAAGAGTCGAGAACGGTACAACGAATCGTCTTCTCTCTAATAATGTAATGAAACGTCGAAGCTTCGGCGCTTCGCGCGGGAGGGGGGGAGAGGGAACTGAATTTAGACAAGGATTAAGAGTCGAGAACGGTACAACGAATCGTCTTCTTTCTCTAATTATGTAATGAAACGTCGAAACTTCCGCGCTTCGCGCGGGAGGGGAGGGGGGGAAACTGAATTTAGACAAGGATTAAGAGTAGATAACGGTACAACGAATCGTCTTCTTTCTCTAATCAGTGGCGGATCCAGGGGGGGTTGGGGGGGTTGCAACCCCCCCCCCCCCCCTTGGGCGGCCCAAAAAAAAAAAAAAAAAAAAAAGGAAAAAAAAAGAAAAAAAGAAAGAAAAAAAGAAAGAAAAAAGAAAAAAAGAAAGAAAAAAAGAAAGAAAAAAGAACGCACGCTGGAGAGAAACCCTTTCAAGTGCAAATATTGTGAGAAGATATTTAACTCATCTGGTAACTTAACCAAACACATGATAACTCTGAATATAACTATGTATTAAACTGTTACTTGATTTAAAAAGACGTTATCATGCACTGCTTTTTATGGTCTCCATTGTGTTAATAGATGCCAGGAAAACATCACTTACGGGGTTCAAATAAACACCCCAAAAAAAATCGGCTCGCCGCTTCGCGGCTCGTGGACGATGCTCCGCATCGTCATTATTTTGGTCAAACCCCCCCCCCTTAGCAAAAAGCTAGATCCGCCCCTGCTAATAATGTAATGAAACGTCGAAGCTTCCGCGCTTCGCGCGGGAGGGGGGGGGGGGACTGAATTTAGACAAGGATTAAGAGTCGAGAATGGTACAACGAATTGTCTTCTTTCTCTAATGATTTAATGAAACGTAAAAGCTTCCGCGCTTTGCGCGGGAGGGGGGGGGGAACATAATTCAGACGAGGATTATTTTTGGGAACGGTACAACGATGATGGAGGGGGAACTTGCCCCTCCCTGCACCCACCTCCTCCCCCCAATGACGTCACTGCTGGTCACCATTACGTACCAATTTTTTGCTCGCAAAATTTCAAATTTGGGCCTCCCCCCTAAGAAATCCTTGATCCGCGCCTGAACTCGGGAGACACTCGTTTCGCCGACAGTTCATAATTCCTAAGATTCGCAATGCCAAACATGATTGTATCATACCAGGTGGTTCTTACTTTTGAACAAGACATTATTGCGTTATTCCAAAAGTTCGTTAAACCGAAGGTTTGTCATTCTGAGAGGTAAATAGTGTTCATTTTCCATGGACATATCCATATCTCAATAGGGCTCGAGACATTGTAGGAGGAAGGGAGAGAGATAGAGGGTAACAATAAAGAAGGTGTGTGTGTGACGGAGAGACAGACTGAAAGATAATTATTGACAATACCACGTAGAAAACATAGAGATAGAGAGGGAGAACATAACGTATGGAAGAGAGAGAGGGAGAGAGAGAGAGAGAAAGAGATATATTTTAGATGAATAGCTGATTTCCGACTTCTCACTGACCGACCAATGCCAAACACATAATTTTACTTCTTTTGCATTTTAAGTTTTCTAGATCCCCCCCCCCCCTCCATCTGAAATGTGCTTTAATCTTTCAATACACATCTTCCAATTGTTAATCAAATCGTTGAGCACTTTCATTAGCTTTGTCCAGCACCATTGGAAATATTCGATTACTGCAATGTCATGAGATTACGTACATGTATTCACAAGACAAACAGCATGCTATATTGAATCATTGTATTATTATTGCAAAGAAAACATTATATTTATGTAGATATCTTGAGATACTCGCTTCTTTAAAAAATTTTTTTATTAAATTACATCAAACATACATATACCTATAAGCATAGATCCATGCATAGATTTCGCAAAAAATGGAATGTGCTAGAATTAGTAACCTGTAATATATTGTCTGTTTTTTTTTTGTTTTTTTTTTAATCCATAATCTCGGTTTCTACTCCTACTTTATTTATCCTCATTTTGTATTGTGATAATGATATATTTGAAATACATGTAGTTTCAGTTTAATTTGTATTATGTATGAGATGTTTTAACCGAATTTAAAAAGAAATTATTTAAAAAAAAATGAAATTACGTAATCTGAATTTGATTTCTGAAGGCAGTACAATAGGGTAGGACAACTGAGATTGCCATTGAATCTATATATTTCTTGAAAGTCATTGCGAGATTGTTATGCCTAGATAATAAAAGGGTTCCTGACTGCTTTATTTGAGGCTGCGTTTGATTTTGTCGGTTTAATTATTAATCAATTTGTATAATGAAGAGAGGCCTGTGAGCTCTGTAAAATTAACCATCTACATGTAGATCAATCCCAAGTAGTAACTCTGTAGAATAATAAACAGGTAATCAAGATTTAAAGATGTCGCCTTCGTATTTATTTTAGCATGACCACGCATAGATGGAAAGACATGACATGAATTGACTAAGAAACATAGTTTTATTATAAAAAATCTCCATAAGCAAATAAGATTGATCTAAAGCAAGCAAGTTCCCGTCAACCATTACGGGCAACACTAGGTACACCTCCAAACATTTTGAATTATAAAGACAATGTCCATTTAATTAATTCAATTTAATTAAAGTAAATTCTTATATTCACAGAAAATTCAGGTTTATAGCAAAAGAACTGTTCTTTCCTGAATGAAAAGAAAATCTACCATGAAATTCAATAAACATTAACGACATTTAGAGAACCATCGACAAACGAGGCCTAATTTTATCAGACACTTTATCACTGTTGTGTGTAAAAAAAAACTAAGGTTTACACTTTATCACTGGTATGTGTCAGAAACTAAGGTAGACATTTTATCTCTATTGTGTGTATGAAACTAACGTTTACACTTTATTACTGGTATGTGTATGAAACTAAGGGTTACATTTTTTCACTAATGTGTGTATGAAACTAAGGGTAACATTTTATCACTAATGTGTGTATGAAACTAAGGCTTACATGCAGTTTATCACTGCCTCGGTATGAAACTAAGATGTTCAAAAAGCATGACAAGAACTGACAAGTGTGTCAAACTACACAAAATGAAGAAATATTTATATAGTACTTCAGATAGTACAGACGGCGCAAGTAAGTTCGTAACCATCGATGTAGGATCCACAATCCAAGCCATCACCCGCCACACACCGGACTTCTGTGAAGTACAACAGCGCACTATTCTGATTCCCCAGGGTACCCGCTTTAGGAACCATTTCTCGGTCCACACACACAAATTCTGATCTATCGTGTACGTATTTCTCTGCCATAAGATAACCAGCGTACTCCAAACGCCATTCTTGAGAAGGACACACGTTGCGGGCAGGAATCATTAGTTTGCTGGTGCGGCCAGAGGGCGCCCTGCAGACTGCACATGTCGGAGTCTGGTCATGTAGTGGTCGGATGCGTGAAGGACCAGTATTGACTTGGTATTCAGAGAAGTATAGTAGGGCACGTTCAACATGTAAGGAAGTTTCTACTTCGTCATAGATGGGCTCTTCCGGCATGCATAGATGATTTGAGCCGCTACCAACATGATTCCAGTGTGCACCTCCAATAGAACCTGAACAAATCCCAAAGCAATGTAACATAAACAAAGGTAAACCTACTTAATTTCAAATTTATCAGATTCTAAATTAAGAATGATGTAGGACCAATGACAACTACTGAAGGCAGCTCCGGAGAACGTTCAAGGAATAATTTCATATCAGGTATATACCCACCTAAACATGGGTGGAGAGTGGCAAATGTAGATGATATCTTGGCAAAGGACATTAGCACGGGGCTGGGAATCGAGCTGCGAAGGATATGATCAAGCTACTGTCTGATGACATAATCTAAAACACCTCTAAAGCCCATGACGGCATCTAGATTTTGCACTTGGGCTAATCCTCATGGTATACTTTCTAAAAAAGAACTCGAGGATATTTAATACCCTATTGTGTATCCCATCATGTTTGAAACGTTAAAGATCAGAGTTCGCACATTTTAATATGACAGAACGACAAGGCTATTGAAATTGCCTGTGGTTGATTTTCGGATAGTCCTTGCGATCATGGCAAAACCATTTTCAGAGTATCTGTACCAACCTGAATAGATGAGTTCTGCATCTTGGGGACATACATCGTTACCCCAGCGAGTATAGATCACACCAGGAAGGCTTGCCATGTTACCTACTGGAGGCACTACCGCATCACCTCCGGATTCAGTTGAGTTTGTTTCGTCGCTGGGTGAAGTAGGTGTTTCTCGAGCTAAAATTTCAAACATTCAATTCAGAAGTTTCATTAATTTTTATTCTAGAAGTTTGTAATCTTAGGTTATGCGACCTCATATTATATTTTCTAATAAAGGTTTCTGGTATCTCTTCATTGTGTAATTGGCCAGAAAGGACACAGAAGTTACAGTATCCGAAGTGTTTTCCAAACTTTAATTTCATTTCGCTAACCCTGCATTCTCCGGCTTGAATTATTACAATGTCACAAGTATAAATGTTCTACAACCTCTGCGGTCGTGCAATATCGAGTCAGATTGATGTCATTATAGGCCTACCTTGGGAATCTGTCGGTGCATCCCGTCTGTCTCTGCCGTCCCTTCCGGCAACCCCCTGTGGGCCTGAGGGACCTCTTTGTCCAGGAACACCAGCAGGACACAAGAAACATTGACCTAAAGAAGAAACATCATAGTTATTTCTTGTCAAGTTTAATGATCAGATCTTAAACACTTCTGCCTGTATAAGATTATATTTCAAGCAAAGTAGCTCTCTCTGTAGGTTATTCTCAACCTGGATGATAATGGCCTATACGTCACATGTTCCATTGATAATTTCTTATTTGATCTAGGTGACGCATAGATCTTTAAGTTTCGAATATTTTATGTCTCCTATTTTCGGACTTTGAATGGCCTAACGTGGCCAAACAACATGACTTATAGCTCTGGAATTTATTTGTGCATTCAGGGCTCTCTATTTTTCTCTTTTCTTCTAGATAACGCATATGTTAGCTTTAAAGATAATAATAATGATAATAATAATAATCTTTTAAAGTCCACTCCAAATTTTATTAAGTTAAACCGAAAATGGAAATTCTTTTTGCCCAATTGATCGTGCATGAGCCCGGCAGCCACTGAGCAACGCCAGATCGACGTTGCTCTATCCTTTATTGTTGAACGCCAAACAAGGTAGCAGCAACGCCCGTATTTTAACGTCTTTCATGACGTACAGTTTACCAGTTTACCAGTATTGCCCTGTTTCCGATTTGATTTTGGACATTTTGAGGTCGATTTCCTGATTGCTACATACTTGGTAATAATGCGCCTCAAGGCATGTAAGGTGTCCAATGCCCATTGCAAACGATACGTTATTTGCTGAAGTATATAGAATTATACACGCAAGCAACTTGCGGGGTCTATAGTTCTTTTTTGACGTGGCTGGTGAGAGTACCATCATTCGAAAGGTAATTCGTGCAATTTTATGAACACTTGACTTCCTGGTGCACGCACTAATTTTCCTCATAGGTAGGCCTTCGTGTGCGATGGACGTCATTAGAGAAATCAAGAAATGTCTGCATCGTGTCTGTTTCATAAGAATGTTATCAATAACTAGTTACAATAACTATTGAAGCCCATCTGCACTAGTTTTGCCAGGAGGGATTAGACCTTCCTGGGTGTTCACTGGCAGGTGGTTATCTCATCAAATCAGCTCTGAATTAACCTAAGAAAATGGGGACCATGGGGATCAACGGGTGCCGCTTACATGCAAGGCATTGTTGGCTATATATAGAAGGCGCAAGTAGTTACACGTAGTGCAGTCCCACTTAATATCTACACTGAAATATTGGCATTTGATTGACTGAGAGGAAATTTGTCATAGAATCTTAGCATCTGTTAAGGATTGCAAGTTTGATGAAATAGGACCCTGGTGCTCTTACCAGAATACATTGGCCATGAGTATGGTCCGGATTGGTTCTGACCTAGGCTAATCTGCTCGGCACCAGATGATGGGAACGATGTCGGGAGAGTCGATGGCGAGTCAAGATGCCTTCGACGTCGTGTCTTTTCAAGTTCTCCTAGCTCAAGATCGGTCGCGAGAGAGTCAGGAATGTGAATCTTGGCCATCATTGATGGATTCTTCGCGATGAGCTCGAGAGTTGAGAAGGAACGGGTGATCTCAGCAACGGATTCCTACATAATTTTGTAGTCGAAAAGTTAAGAGACAAATTAAAAAATGAAAATCACTAATACGTACCCTCAAATCTGAAATGGGATATTTTTTTCTGGTGAAACATGCCTTCCATCCCTTAAGTTGCCGGTAGACTATACGCATTTTGGCCGAAACGAAACATCGTTCAGATGAGAGAAAATCGTGCTAAGGTAGTGACTTCAATGCTAGATGTGCAGTTAAAGAGAATCTGAAAGTTTGAGTGAAAATATACAATTATTAATGATAAATATTGGGAAAAACTGATCTGATCGATTTCTTAATTCTCCCAACTATATTATTACAATTAAATTACATTTTAAGTGAATGTAAATCGTCACAAAGCAATGAGTGTTAAGTTTTGAGAAAAAAAAAAGAAAGACTGTCTGATGTCTTATTTTCAATGGAAACCGGTTGGGACAATTTAAAAATGATTGGGAGAATTTACTGTAAGAGTGTGTCGATTTTCACTCGTTGAGTCGTGAAACGAAAATGAGAAATTAATTCCTTGATGATATTGATTTTCCTTTTCCCTTTTGGTTTGTGAAATGTGACACGTCTTAAGTGTTTAAAAGGTTGACGCTTTGTGTTCGGTACATCAGTGAACTAACTCGACTCATTTATGCCAACAACATACAATGCGTCGCGTACACGACGCAGTCGGAGTACGCGCAGCGACTGGTGAGGTCTTTTAGGCGCCATTAGAGGTGGCGTCAACTTTGAATTTGCCTTCACAGGTCTGATTAGCTGGGGTAATTGGCGATCTGGATGTTATCGTTACCAAAAATTATATATTTATAAAGAGTAGCGACATTGGAGGACGCTTTTGATTGGTCAGTTACTTCGTGGAACTTCGAATAGTTCCCTCCCATAGTAGTAGACCAGCAAAACATTAAAAAAAGGCTTAAGAATAAGATTCCAAGGCATTTGGAGGGCAATGCATGGCATCCATGCTAAAAGTGTTGCAGAAATACAAGAGAATGGAATTTGGACCGAATATGTATGATCTGAATGAGACATTTCAATTATTATAATTTTCATTACAAGTTTGAGGTAATTAACCTGTTTAATATACTTTAACATTTTGAATATGACACACATAATTATGTATGGCGCAAAGAAACATAAAAGAGCGATTTACTTTGAATATGGGGTTATAAAAGCTATATTTCAAATTTGTTTACACACCATAAAGGTATCCATTTAAAAAAAAATCCTTTTAAAGGAAGTAACATATGTTGTTACGCCACTAAATGGTGTCTTTTTACAGGATGCGCATTTTGAGCGGAAACCACACTGTACATATACTGTATATACTGTATATGGCAATTCCAAAGTATCAGCATTCATGGGCAAACGACTGAAGAGACACCCACCCCCTGAGACGCAATCTTAAGTGGAATTGTCCGTTAGTTAGGACCCTTCCCTATCAGAATGTTCGCCATATATTTGCTAATTTGAATCAAAACACATTGTAAATTATGTCCTCAAATGTCATTTAACTTAAGTTGTTCCTTCTATTATAATTACAATTTGAGTCATTGTAAGTAATATGATAGGGTCGTTGCAATGGAAACGGAATGTTAAAAAAAAAATATCTTTCAAACCCTCCCCCCCCCCCCTCCAAAAAAAAGGAACGGTAACTAATCAATACAAAACGAGCAGAATAATAATGTAAAATGATAGATAGTTATTATCCAGTACCCTCAGCGACCAGAATATGCTGGATATGGTGGATGTGACCACTATGGATGTACCAATTTGAATTGTAGAAATACTACATATCTATAATTGAAAACTAGTATAGAGACAATGTAAGCATCTAAGTTTGTGTAATTTGAGCATCCATTGTGATTGCAATCTAATCTGAACCATTTGAGGTCACGATCAGGAAGAAAAAATGTTGTTCATACTGAAAAAGTATTATAAGAAATAAAATATTTTTGAGAGATCTCAATGTAACTGATTGATATGAAATAGTAGTGTCTGTGTACAAAAAAAATCCAACTGTTACACTCCAAATAATAATGGAATCCACACAAAGTAGCTTTTGAGAGTTTATTCCTATTTTTTTTAAAGTTTTCCATTGAAAAAATGTTATTTTAAATATGAAAACAAGATAAAACGCGAAAGGTAATTTGTAGATTTTCTTTCCATCATGGTGGAATTATCTTTTGCTTGCCACAATGGAATAATAAGCAATGAAACTTGGAATAATTACCTGTACGTAAGCCTAATCGGGAAGAAGAGAAGCAAAATAAGCAGAAATAGTATGTGAATGTTGATCACATGACTGTGGAAATTTGATCTACCCAGGATATAGCCACATCATTATCAATAACTCTCTTCCTGCGGGCCCTGCAATTGATATTACACCATCGTTGCCAGGTTCACCTGGGTCGAGAGGGGATATGTGTTCAAAATACCTTGCCCGAGGATGTAAGCAGCAGCACTGAGCAAAGAACGAACCTTTTATATGAGAGTCAAGAGTCCTCTCCACTGTGCGCCGACTGTGCTCTACAATGTTGTTTGGATATGCAGAAGCTGATAAATAACTATGGGACATTGTTTTCAATCAAATATTATCAACATTCTTTTCAACCTTCAAAATGTAGAGAAATCTATTTAAAAAAAAGTTCCCAACTTGTGTTCGGATGACTAAGCAGAGAGGGAGAGAGAAGTGAATATTCTTACTATTAACGACACTTTTTAAAATCAATTTCATACTTTTTCGTTCAATTTTGTCCCGAAGCTTCCTCATTTTAATCATCTCAAGGTAAATATAGTCTTTGGTCATTCATTGTGACCTTCGTCAATCGATTTCATCATTTCGCATCCAATTTTAGTTCAAATTCAAATCAAGCTCGTCATCTTCGGCTGCTATATCAAGTTTATATCTTATTTTTCATTTTCAATGTTTCCGAATGTTTTCAAGACAATTATTTTTGTCGAACAAAGTTTGATCTTGCTTTATGTCCCAAAAGCAGTTGAGTATTGCTGATTTTTAGCGACAATTATTCTCCATTACTGCTCTTTGATAAAGCCATGACATGGAGTAGCAATTTACTTGTTTGGAACTCATGATAATTCGTTTTAGAGATCTGATTCAACTGTTCGCAGAATATAGCAGGGAGAGAATAAAGTGAACATTCTCAAATTATCGAAAATATAATATTGTGCTTATTTGTTCATCGTCTCTAAACTGCTATTTGATTGATTCTTTTGAGAATTTTTAATTGCTGGAAAGAAATTTTCGGCTTCCACACATTAAATTAAGATCGCGTGTTCGATTTGTAATTAGACTTCCTGGGAAAAAGGTGATCCTTTCAGAAATCTCAAAGGTTGTTCTTACGGGTGATTGATTACATCCGGTTCATTCCATTATTCGGATGATTTATCAGAGAGGGAGAGAAGTGAATATTCACACGGCTAACGACAATGTATTATTATACTTATTTGTTCATCGTCTCTAAAATACCATTTGAATCACTCTTCTTCTTTTTTAATGTTAGGCTTCCTGGGAGAAGTTTTAATTGCTGAAAAGAAATTTTCGGCTTCCACACATTAAATTAAGATCGCGTGTTCGATTTGTAATTAGACTTCCTGGGAAAAAAATGATCCTTTTAGAAATCTCAAAAAGTTGTTCTACGGGTGATTGATTACATCCGGTTCATTCTATTGTTCGGATGATTTATCAGAGAGGGAGAGAAGTGAATATTCTCACGGTTAACGAAAATGAATTTGTTCAATAGGCGTGTCATCATCATCTCGAGATTACCATTTATATTTTGGTCCACAGATGTCAATAACTTTGATACTCAGTTTACATGGCTGTGGCTTTAAATAAACCTTTTTTTAATGATTATAATCAAAAGATCAGCTGTCATTATTAGATGATTACCATTTGTTTCAAGTTTTGAAAAACAATCATAGTTTTTTTCTCAAGTTCAAATATTTCTTTATTTTTTAACATGGTAATGGCCTAGCGGTCACGTTCATCAACTGCTTTATGGCAAGCAGACACAATATGATAGATTATGGTCCTAGCAAACATGAAATCATCATTTACAATTATGCAAGCAAGTATTTAACAATATCTTTGTTAATTTCATGTATTTTTTTAATTACAGGTTTTTTCTTACTGTTTACATAGCAACAGCAGTTTTCAAACATGACTGACACGTACATGTAATAACTGGCAGTTGTAATCAAGTAAAATGCTTTAATTACACATATCAACTTACCTACAATGTGTCTTTAACTTTCTAAATCACAAATATATGACTTTTTCTTAAATTCATTCGTTCTTGCCTCGTTGCCATGGTAATAGCACTAGTTTTTATACCCACCACCAACATTAGATCCTACAAGCACACTCTTGATTCTTAAATTAAGATTGTGTCTAAAGGGGTGGGGCCTTTCCAATTATTGGCCCATGGGGCAGTATTGCTAATACCTCTGAGAATTGCCATATACGGTACAGGTACGCTGTAGATGTTCATTTACAGAGTGTTTTCCACTCAAAATGCACATCCTGTAAAAAGACATGAATTCATGCGGGAAAGCATGAAATGACCTATCCATCACATTATCTGATCATTTATTTTCTTTGTGTGGCATAACAACATGTATTGTATTTTTAATCAAGAAAAGGTGTTTCAATTGATAGTGTTTGAAACTTTTAACTATAATTGTGTTTTTATTACCCTATATTCTGTGTTAATCACACTTTTATGCTTCATTGCGCCATGCATATGTGTGTAATAACCAACTTCCAAGTATGAAACAGGGTTATTACTTTAAACTAAAAATGAAAAAGGTCTTTTTCAGATATTCGGTCAAAAATGTATACAAATTATTCTTTCAAATCTTGAGCCCCAAATTACTTTCTTTTCTTCTTTTTTGTTTAAATGTGCGTGGCATCGATCCCTACAGTATTTTGGCAAGAATAGTAGCATTGGATTCCATGCATTACTTAACAAATGCCATCCAAATTAAAAGAATAAAAGATATAAATATCACGTCTAAGAGATTGCTTGTGGGCGGGGGATTGAACCTTCTCATTTATAAAATTGCACTGGAGTTAGGCTGGGGCCCTGTTTCATAAAACTTGTTATCAATACGAAAAGGGACACTTTTCAATAACAAATGCCCTCTCAACCAATCAAAAATGCAACAATTTCAGTAGCTTTTAACAGTTATTAGGTGATACGTAACGAAGTCTACGTATCACCTTTTGATTTCGTCAAGATTTTTATTATTTATTTATTTATTAGGTGATACGTAACGAAGTCTACGTATCACCTATTGATTTCGTCAAGATTTTTATTATTATTCTTCTTCCTATTATTCTTCCTCGATTTTGTTCGCAGGATATCTCAAGACTGAATAAAACCATTGTCATGAAACTTTCAATGATGATAGATCTTAGTCTAACTTAGAACTGCGTGATTTTTCAAGGACTCAAAGTCATCGTGACGTCATCCAGGCGCCATTTTGTGAAAATCAACTAATGATCATATCTTCATAACGGAAAGTTATTTTTCATTCATATTTATCATGAATAAGATCAATATCCGTCGGGTCAATTTAAGGTCAATAAATGCGCGCAAAAATGCGC